AAAATAAATAAATAGTTGGTTAAGTTTGTCCGCCTGATAGATTGGCTTGCTATTCCCCGTTGCAGATGTCTACACAGACAGATTTGTGTCGTGATACCCACAGAGTTAACCTGTGTTCTCTACAGCAACTATTGCTGATCGGACCTTAGCTACAGTTTCTGGGCGAGAGCACCTCATTTGTCGTGATCAAGAGGCTTATATAGAAATAAAGTCTCGCTGACGGCTCTTGAGTTTGATCATAGATCGCCAGTGAGCAAACACAGGCGATCCCATTATTGAATTAAGTAGTCCACGTAAGCATAGAGGAAATGCATATATGGGAGGTACCATGTGCCTAATTGATCTGCAATTCTAGTTTATCCTCTATTACTATTCGGATCGCTATTTCTAGTCTATCCTCTATTACTATACAGATCTCCATTTCTTCTCTATTCTCTATTACTATATGGACCGCTAATCACTACTCTATTTACTATACTATTTCTTTTTCGGATCACTATACGGATTACTATTCGAGCGAGTATTATCGAGCAAGTACTATTAGTGCGCGTATTATTCAAAGGCGTCTGACACTAGTATTGTTTAACGGCGTTACTATAGTTGTATCTGCGATTACAAAGTCTCTACTACAACGAGAATTACGAAAGTGACAACGAGTATTCGTTGGCATCACTAAAGTAGCAACGAGTGTTCGTTGACATCACAAAAAAGGGTGTTGAACAAAGCCAGTATGCTCAGCCGCTAAGTCACGATTGACTTGTGACTTCGTAAAAGCACAACAATCGACGCCTTCCGAACAGATCCGTCTACCCAAAAAATCCGTCTACCCTTAAAAATCTTGGATGAATCCGTGGTATGGATTTTCTCCCGAGGATGATAATTATCATGACGTTAACTTCCTGACAAATCGACTATGCTGAGATTCGGAATCTCATCTGATTGCTCGGGACGCTAGCATTCTATCCTGTTTAGATATTAATAAGATATTCCTTAGTATGAACGACATTCGCGGCAAGTAAGAAAATGGTTGATTTGGTACTCAGAATCTTCGATGAAGAATATAACAAGAGAAAGATATGTAAAGATATCTATAAAAGACATTTATACATATATTAAGCGCTTCTCGGATAAGGAAATTGTCAAAAGACGACCTAATAGAAGTTGCTATTTCGCTACCCAAAATAAGAAATTCGGTAAATGAATGAATTCTTCATATCTGACAATGTTAAAGTCCCTGAAAAGACTGTTAATGATTTAAATTTAAATAAAATATTAAATAAATTTAATAGAAGCATCTGAAAGCATTTAAAATATTCTTGAACATCTTATTGTAATTGTGCTTGTCCGTTCCATCGTTAGTTCGCACGACCATTACTCCCTGCTGAATAATTACTCCTGCTGAATAATTGACTATTCCGCGTTTTGATCGCGTGGAAAGAGGGGAAAAGACATTATTTAGTTTCAGTGAGAAAATGAAAAAAATAGAGAATGAGGGGAAGATGGAAGTGAACGGAGAGAATCAGATTAAGTTGATAAGAAAAGGTACTACACTTTGATCCCAGCCAAAACGCCGAGAAACTATGGTGACACCAATAAAAGCGGCATCTTTTAATAAGAATAGAAAACGCAACATAATTTGGTTCAACCCACCTTTTAACGGTAATGCCAGAACCAACATCGGTAGGATTTTCCTCAATTTAATCCACAAACATTTCAGCCATAAACCTTTATTCAAAGGAATCTTCAATAAGAACAACATTAAGATTAGTTACAGCTGCACTAGAAACACTGAGCGTAACTTTAAACAAATACTTAAGCAACACCAATAGCAATATTAACATAAAAAAATGTAATTGCCGAAAAGGTATTATCTGTCCGATGAATGACAAATGTATGTATAAAGGAGCCATCTATAAGGCATAATGGCGAAACCAAATTTTATTTCAGTTCAACAGCAAATAACTGAAAAACGAGATTTTACCATCACAAAATGAGCCTTAAAAGTAAGAAATATGCAAATGACACAGCAGTCTTAAAATTTTACTCGAGTATTAAACAGACCATTACACACCGGCAGTAAACTGGGATTTTGTCGCCAAAATGACACTCTATTCCGGCCGCGGCGGTAGATGCAACTTGTGTTTGCTGGAAAAAAAGATTCATCCTCAAATATATTTATGACCCAAATCTACACAATAAACGAAATGCTAGGTTGTAATAACAGGAGGAGATTTCTCCTAAAATATTTTTTATTCTGGATAAATATATTACCCAAATTTCGCTTTCCCTTCCCATATTTTAGGCTATATATTGATTACCCCATTTCAACCATTTTAATGTCTAATATAATTTAACATGCCAACCAGCATTCCTGTTTTAAACTTTAAACTTGCTTTTATAAATTATTTTTTTAATTATTTTTTTTATAATGGCCCCTTACCTATACCCTATTTTCTGTATTTACACACCCAATATTATATTTAACTTATTTTAAATTTGAGCTGTGAATCTGCGTGTAATTTAGAATTCCTCCCATGAGCCTCCGTATATTATTTTTTTTATTCATAAGTAATATTTCGTGCCTGATGAATTGGTAAAGCAACGAAACTTAAGCCGCAACCCAAACTTAGGTATATGTATATCTATTAATATATATTGCTTAGTTATGTCTAACCACATTGAGTGTTAAATATTTATTTGCCTACTTGTGTATGCACGCTAACGTACGTATGTATATACGGTTGCCTAATATCTAGTTATTTGATTTACCTACCTCTATACCTATATAGATATATATATACATATATGTTGTTTGCTGCCCCAAAAATATATATATATATATATATATATATATATATAAGATGGACGCTTATCTATGTATGTTGATTGCTGCTCAACCAATATTATATATCTGTTTTAAATATACATATATATATATATATATATATATATCAATGTTTCCTCATATATATATATATATATATATATATATATATATATATATATATATATATATATATAAAAAAGGCTTAAACACTAATATTCCATTGTCATAATTTATTCCATTGAATCGTAAATACGATCCAATTCATCAGACCTACAAATTCAAAAAAAGAAAACAGAAAAAAACAACTCCGGAAAAAAAAAAAAATTAGAGAGATTGTGGGTATGAGAGTGTGGGACGAATGTTAGAGCTAAAGAAAGGGGTAACAGACGAGAGAAGGTGGGGATTAAATTTAACAGAGAGAAGTTTTTAGAGAGGGAGTCAAAGACGGTTTAAGTGAGAGAAATATGAATGTTGACGGATGTCTAATACATTAAAAGATGTAACTGAAAGGATACATTTTGTGGTGACATACACACAATAGACGATCTAATCTTAAAGAATAAGAGGGAGGGAGAAGAAAGAAAAGAAAAGAAAAGAAAAGAACAAGGGGTGGGGGAGAGGTCGGGGAGAACTAAAATTGAAGGACATTTACTGAAAGGGCTGCTGTGTAATTAAGAAAATTTGACAAAATTGATATCGACTGAGGTTACAAATCAAATATAAACATATAAAAAAATAAATATAACGATTATCTAATCTAGAAAGGACCTATATTTCTATGTTAAAAACACATGCGTATACACATACACACACATATACATGTACATACATACATATAAACTTTACACACATACACACACATATACCCATGTACACATATACATATATATATATATACATATATATATATATATATATATATATATATATATATATATATGTGTGTGTGTGTGTATACGTATGTTGGTTGCTGCTCAACCAATATTTATAGGTAGATATTATATATCTGTTTTTAAATATACATATATATATATATCAGTGTCTCCCTCTTTCTCACTCTCTATTTCTTTCCCTCTCTTTTCCCTCTAGATCTATCGATCTCTCTCTCTCCACACACACACACACACACACACACACACACACACACACATATATATATATATATATATATATATATATATATAAATATATTGATAAATAGGTGCGTAAGATATAACATAGATGCAACATAGGAAGTAGGGTAGATGAACTGAAGGAAGTCTAGAAGATAATTTATGCTCAATGAATTAGCAATTGTCGCTAAGGAAAAATAGAGAAGACAAGTGAAAGAATGACATTTCCAGTAAGACTTATTTCCCGCGCAATGACGGGGCTGGCGCGAGCGACCGGCTGTCGGCGTCGGTTAAGAAAAGCATGATTTGCAAAATGAACGGCTAAAGCCTCCTCGTGTTACGGGAGGAACCGGAGCGGGGCGTACCTCACCAAAATCAAAACAGATTGTCTTACGTTCGGTCGGTTGAAAGTAATATTTTGCCTGTCTGCAGGATTGAAAATAAAAATCACGCAAATAGCATCAGCAAATTTACAGAGAACTCCAACAGCAAGTCCAGTGGTAAAGGATGAATGTTTTTTCTTATAGATCGTGGTATTTTGAGATTGTGTCATGGGTTGGAAGGAAGGTGAAGACACTTCCTGGTATCCGTTGGAAATACTAACAGCGCCGCGTGTATATCTATAGTAGTGAGCCTATATCCGGTGGGGGGCTATGTTTTAAGACCCCAGTAGATGTTTGAAACTGCATGTTGTTCAAAACGATACACACGGCCGGTGCAACAGTTTTGTGTCTCCAATTTATGATACTCCTCCCCCGAATCTATGTTAAGGCCCTCCCACTTTACTATATCTCAATTTTCACAAGGTAGTATTCATATAAAATACGGATTTTATTGTAGCTTAATTATATACAATAATCGATCATATGCAATATAGGTGAACAATTCAACTAGAAAAATTGGAAATAATTACAATGAATCTAAATACAAATTAGAGATATCTTCATGAGGTATTTGAACTTCGAAGTATTATCATAGTCCAGTCTTTAGAGAATTTTCTTAATGGAGAAATGTTTTCTATTCTTTGGAAGACTGCAAAATGAAGATACTCGTAGAGTAGTTTATTTTGGTTTAAATGTGAATAGGATTAGGCAGTTTCCAGAGAGAGAGAGAGAGAGAGAGAGAGAGAGAGAGAGAAGAACTTTTCTAGAGAGAAGTACGTTTCCGGAAAGAAGAATATTTTCAGAGAGAAGAACGTTTCCGGTGTGAAGAACATTTTCAGAGAGAAGAACATTTAAGAGGGAAGAACGTTTCCGGAGAGAAGAACGTTTCTGGCGAGAAGAACGTTACCGGTGAGAAGAACGTTTCTAGAGATAAAGACGTTTCCTGAGAGACAAACGTTTCCAGAGAGAAGAAAGTTTCTGGAGAGAAGAACATTTCCAGAGAGAAGAACTTTTTCAGAAAGAAGAACGTTTCTGGAGAGAAAAACGTTTCCAGAGAGAAGAACGTTTCCAGAGAGAAAAACGTTTCCAGAGAGAAGAACGTTTCCAGAGAGAAGAACGTTTCTGGAGAGAAGAACATTTCCAGAGAGAAGAACTTTTTCAGAAAGAAGAACGTTTCCGGAGAGAAAAACGTTTCCAGAGAGAAGAACGTTTCCAGAGAGAAGAAAGTTTCTGGAGAGAAGAACATTTACAGAGAGAAAAACGTTTCCAGAGAGAAGAAAGTTTCTGGAGAGAAGAACATTTCCAGAGAGAAGAACTTTTTCAGAAAGAAGAACGTTTCCGGAGAGAAAAACGTTTCCAGAGAGAAGAACGTTTCCAGAGAGAAGAACGTTTCCAGAGAGAAGAACGTTTCCAGAGAGAAGAAAGTTTCTGGAGAGAAGAACATTTCCAGAGAGAAAAACGTTTCCAGAGAGAAGAAAGTTTCTGGAGAGAAGAACATTTCCAGAGAGAAGAACTTTTTCAGAAAGAAGAACGTTTCCGGAGAGAAAAACGTTTCCAGAGAGAAGAACGTTTCCAGAGAGAAAAACGTTTCCAGAGAGAAGAACGTTTCCAGAGAGAAAAACGTTTCCAGAGAGAAGAAAGTTTCCAGAGAGAAAAACGTTTCCAGAGAGAAGAACGTTTTCGTTTTTTTTACTTAATAAATTGAACTAACTTTTTAACTCATCCAATATTTGTTAAATCTAGTTTTATCTAAGTCATTTTAAAGAAAAGATGCAGTGTAAATATTAATGGCTTTTTTTTTTTTTTTTTTTTTACAAAAGTCGCACAATTTCATTCTTTTCTTTCATTACGAGAAACGCCAGGTTTTCTTAAAAAGTACTAACAATTTTTTTTTTAAGCCAGTTTTTCTCAACCATTTATACTGCAGGTCGCACTTGTAAAATAACTAAAACTCTGGGGCGAACATTAATTTTAAATAAGGAAAAATTAAATTAGTTTGACTTTTGAAAATAGGAAAATAATAAAAATTTTTCCTGAAATAAGCACGCATTTTTATAACATTACGTTGTATATTTAAGTATGTTTGTATGAAAGCTGTGCTTTTATTAAATATAAAAATAATTCATAAATTACTTTTCTATTAACTTGGGGCGCATTTCGCTACATTTCGGGGCGTATTCACCGGATGAGAAATGCTGATTAAGCATACACACAAATACACAGACACATATTTCATTCCTTCATTTTTGATCTGGTGAAACCTAGTCAGGGCGAAACGCGTAATCTAGTTTCAATGAAACGGTTTTCCATTTGTCATATTCTTCAAACCTTGTCTGGAATCTGTATCCTATTTTATACACAATGTAATCTTCTAAAATTCCATATCCCTTCAGGACGGAGAAGATCTTCTCTCTACGCAAATTCTTTTCCTTTATTATCTGTAAAGTACTCTAACTTCTTGGGAAATGTCTTTTTTTCTATCTATCCTTTGTAGCTCTAAGCAATGTTTGTCCTTGTTCTGCTTGTCAGGTAGATTAGTTAATATTTCCCTCTGACCCTGTTTCCTTCAATATATCCATGTAAGTATCAAATCTTGATAGCCCTAGCGAAGCATCAAGAATTCAGCTATTTGACAAGATTATGAACTACACCAATCAAAGTATTAGTGAGTTCAATCTCGGCTGAGGCCGCAAGATGATGAGATCAAATGTTCTCAGCCATCTCCTTTCATTATTTGTCACATTGAAGTGGTTTTCCGTTCATGGTTTTGAATTTCCAGCTGTCCTTCTCCTAGACTAGTTGCCACACCAGCCTAGAGAGTTGAATTTACTTTGCTTTTTAACTCGTAGCTGAGTAGGACAAAAGCCATGGATTGTTTGCCGCTGTTCTTTCAATGTGGGCGGGCTTGTCTGCTTTGAAAAACGGTGCTTGAATACTCGGGTCTTTACTACGGGTAGGACACCGATCACTAAACTTTGTGGGAAACACCGACCTCCTTCAAACACTACGCAAAAGTAGACAGGCGAAACATAAAACGAACTTTTATGTGATGGCCGTAAGACGCTCCAGTTCGGAAGAGAAACCAGAACATACACAACAAAGGAAACACTGATTTAAATAAAGTCGGTTATGTTTAGACATTCGTCAGTGTTACAAGAAATTAATGGCAATGTTTGTCGATGTTCCAATGTCACTCATTACCAATGTTTATCAACGACGCGGGCCACAAGCTAAGCCTGGTGTATGTTAAAAAACAAAAGGTAGCAATATAAACATTCGTAAAAAAAAATCAAGAAATGTCTGTGATTTTCCCTTTTTTTCCCCTTTTAAATACAACACAGAGGACAGATATTTTACATACGAAAAAAAACTTGTATGTGCGGGTCGCTTTACGGTTATCGGTACAGGAAGTGAGTCGAGTTTAAATTTCATCAAGGGTTTACTTTGCACTAGTGCCCATGAAAAAGGCATGAACACATCTCTTCTCCTTCTAGTCAAGAGAGGAAGTCAGATTACTGTGTGCGTAGCAGGTGACATAAAAATACTATCTGTGATATGTTTACAAATTTGCTATCGGGGTTTACCACACGTTATGTTCGCTTGGTTTTGTAGCAAAGAGTGAATGTAATTTTGGAGGTAGCGTTAACTGGGGTCTCACTAAATATCTACGTTGTGCACAGGTTCATACACAAAACCAATGAAAAAAAATTAAATCTAACACAAAAAGAAAATAAACACAATACAAAACATAAAATATAGACAAAAACTTAATTTAATTTTACTGTACCTGTATAGGGGAAGTTGATTGCGTAAGTGGGAGAAGAGGAGGAGAGTGATGTTATTGGCTGGAAGGGGAGTCTCTCTCCATAAAAAAAAAAAACAAAAAAAAAAAACAGCTAACTTTGTCGCTGGATTGCGTGTTCGTCGCTCGAGACACCGTTCGATACCTGAGATGGTTTTTGTTCAGTAAACTTTGTGACCAGCTGTTTCAATATATATATATATATATATATATATATATATATATATATATATATATATATATATATATATATAATCACTGTGTTGTCCGTATATTGCTTGATATGTTGTAATTGACATCTTTGATAATGGCTTATGTAAGCCGAAAGCTTAGATTGTATTAAAAAATATGGATCAATATTGTGAATTTCTTTCTTCGTTCAATGATAATGTTATTAAACTTATCAGACGTTATGAAAAAAATTTACATAAAATAAACAGACAACACTTGTCTATATTATTTAATGAAACGTATATATATATATATATATATATATATATATATAATTATTTGTTTAAAAATATGATTCCAACTCGCGACATAAGAGTTGGAATCATATTTTTAAATAAATAATTATATTTATGCTCTACATTTGTATCGAGCACTATTTTTTAAAAATAATAACTAAAATACTAAGGAACTTTGGATCTACCTAACCAGTTCTTTCCTATTTTCTATATATTTAAATATATATATATATATATATATATATATATATATATATATATATATATATATTTCAAATCATTTAATCATCAGTTACTTACCATCGCCTAAAGAAATATAATCATAGTATTGAAACATGAAAGCTTTTGTGTAACGATTTTAAAATATTTTTTTATTATAATCTCTTATAATAACAATATAATAATAATATATTGCGATACTTTGTATTGAGCATTTTTTTTTTAAAGTAAATGCTATGAACAGTGGATTTTTACTCCATCTATTCTTTCGGAAAAACTAAATCATAGAACGCCTTCTCCAAAGATAAAAAAATTTCCTCTGTTTTTAGTAGAGTAATAATGAGAATTTTTTTTTAAATAACCTCAGAAACGCAGAAAACTCTGTGTAAATTGACACGTAAATGATTAATTCCCTTTCCTTCGTGATCACGTCTAATCGCATCAATGGAAATGTCATTTTAATCCGATAAGGTCCAAAATGGATGAAACGCATTGCACGAAAAAAAACTTTTCCCCATTTTTTCATGGTTTTCTTAACATATGAAAATGTATATATCATTTTCCAATATATATATATATATATATATATATATATATATATATATATATATATATATCTTCGCAAACAATTTCAATAAGATACACTATCCCGGAACCTGTATATGAATGATATGATCCCTGTTTATAAATTCCAGTTTCATAAGATCTTTTAGTTTTTACAAGCTTTCGTCTATTCCTACAGACATCCTCAGGTATGAAATAGATTTGTTCTTATTTTTTTACTTCTCGGTAATAAGAAGACAACGAAAATATAGATGTAATCCGAAAAAAATTCTATGAGAAATGTGTTATTGTTTTGGAACGATGTGGTCGCAACGCTGAGTTTGAATTTTAAATTTTAAGGTTGTCCGTTTTTGTACAAATATAGTAATAAGAGAATTCTTTTGTACTGGTAGGTTTACCGTCAATATGGCATGAACTATATTGTTCAATAATTACAGAAATGTCACACTTATTATCCGAAAGTTGCACGTTGGATAAGTTATTTTAATTTCGATTAAATCATTAACCTCTATATTTGTTTTTTGTATGAATGATTCATAATTATATATATATATATATATATATATATATATATATATATATATATATATATATATATATATATGTATGTATATATATCTTTAAACAACACAGACGTCATACTTTAGGAACCTTTCAGCCAACACTTTTTCAAAGGTATTCGTTGGCAATTGGGAATACATATGAAGACACTCAATAAAGTAAATGATGAAAGAAAAGTGGAACGCAATTAAAAGAGAAAAAAAAAAAAATTAATTAAACACAATTAAAATTGAACAAGGGGGTGAAAATGGCAAGTTCCACAAGAGTATAAAATGGTAAAAAAGACACCCACAAACCCTCCAACAAACGCAAGGAACGTAAAAAATGTTCCTTTTGTCTACACAGACTAGGTTGTTGACACTTTATAAAAACAGCTTCCAAGACTCGGAGATGGTATACTGAGCGATCGCTGTGTAATACTGAAACCCAAGCGTCTTCATATTCAGAGGCACAAGCATGGCTGTCGAGCAAGTGTTGGCCGAAAGGTTCCTAAGGTATGACGTCAGTGTTGTTTAAAAGTTATGTTTCATTTCTGTGGGTACAAATCACTTTATATATATATATATATATATATATATATATATATATATATATATATATATATATATATATATATATGTTGTGGTAGGATCCACCTAATTTATATACCGACCATATAAATATGGTTGGTACCGGGGAAGACGAGAGGAGGAATCAAGAGATTCAGTCCAGAGATTCTGCCGAATGAGTCAACATTCTCCAGGAACAGTCTTCCCAAGAATATACCAAAGACTATATGTAAATATTTGTGTACCTTTCTTGTTTCAATACATTTTGTTCTAAGTACATTTGTGTTGTATTATTATTCCATGCATTAGTCAAGTTTTCAATAATATATATATATATATATATATATATATATATATATATATATATATATATTGCTCCGAGGAGCTGCATTGCTGGTTCCCAGACGTCATGAGTTCCAGCGCCCTACGAGGGCATCATCGCTCTCACCTTTTTCACTGTCGAAACTCCTAAATGTAGCCGTCTCTTCAGCTCTAATAGCTTCATGTCTCGCACCTCTCGCCTGTGGAACTCCCTTCCCTATTCCTGTTTCCCTGTGAGCTATAATCTCCAGTTATTCAAGTGTAATGTCAATCGACATCTCCAGTTGCCTTGATCTATCCACTACCCTCATCCTTTCTTCTATCACTCCTATCTGATCTTCCTCTGAATTTTTTGTAACCCCTTGCGTCCTAGTGGCTTCCCGCCTTGCTTGGGGTGAAATGCTTAAAAAAAATAAAAAATAAAAAAATATGAATCATTCTCTAGTAGAGAATGGTATTTTGTGCTTTTTCTTTCTTAAACAGTCTCTTTTCTACCTCTCAAGCGGCCAATGCTTTCTTGAAAAGGGTCTTTCTTTTTTACCTTGCAAGTGACATATGCTTTATTGAAAAGGGTCTTTCTTTTTCTACCTCTCAACGAACAATGCTTTCTTGAACACGGTCCTTCTTTTTTACCTTTCAAGCGTCCACTGCTATTTTGAACAGGGTTTATATTTTCTACCCACTAAGCGACCCATGCTTTCTTGAACAGGGTCTTTCTTTTCTATCTCTCAAGCGACCCATGCTTTCTTGAATAGGGTCTTTCTTTTCTACCTCTCAAGCGACCCATGCTTTCTTGAATTGGGTTTATACATCGCAAGCAGACATTGCTTTCTTGAAAAGGGTTTTTCTTTTGTACCTTTCAAGCGACAAATGACTTCTTGAACAGTGTTTTTATTTTCTAACTACTAAGCGACCAATGTTTTCTTGAACAGGGCCTTTCTTTTCTATCCCTCAAGTAACAGATACAGATATTGGGAACGTGCTTTTTCGTAAGGAAACCATGTCCTTAGTTCGACCAAAATAATCTGAACTAATATAAATTAATCTTTTGCTTGATTGCGCTTTCTCTCTGAACTATTAAGCCGTGACTCAAACTTATGCGATCACATTGAAACTGGTAGATAAAAGAAAGGTTAAGCAAAATTGTCAAATTAATGATAAAATAAAAGGACATCCATTTTGAAAAATAACGACCAAAAATACTCAAAATGACTTTTTCGCATACTTATTTACTATCTGAAAGACTGAAAGAATCCACAAGAACTACAGATGAAAAGAGTAAACATTAGTTGCAAGTTGTTAACAAAAGAATGAACCTAAGATGCAAATTACAAATTCGAAATGCCAAAGTCAAACAAGTACAATAATTTAAATATCTTTAAGAGAGGACGGAAAGTGCGACACTGAAGTCCAAAGGCGTATTGGGATAGCGAAAGATGCCTTCCAAAAGCTAAGCAACGTATTAAGAAACAGAAGAATTCCGTTAGAAACAAAAGAGAGAGTGCTTAACTGTTACGTAATATCAATCTTCTTATATGGCAGTGAATGCTGGACAATCTCCTCACAGATAAAGAAGAGACTTGAACCAACAAAAATGTGGTTCTACAGAAGGCTGTTGAGAATGCTGTGGAACTAACATGTAAGCAACGATGAAATTTTAGAGAAAACTAAAAAGGATACTTATACTTAACACCAGGAAAGGACAGTTAAAATTTCTGGATCAGATAATGCGGAAAGAGGCCTTGGAAAATCTGATACTCACAGAGCAGATTAAAGTCAAGAAGGATAGAGAAAAACAACGCATAACCTACCTAGTGAGCTTAAGTAAAAGGATTTCAGAGTTTAGGTTTAGGATTAAATGGTTCCTTTCAAGTTTATGCGTAAATAGGATTGCATAGCACTAAATGTCTACGGGAGGACGGCGCTATGTCTGACACTAGATTTGGCGGAAATACAATGTTAGCTTCATTATTCTCGTTATATCTTATTTGGCAAATATTGCTTGAGTCAAAGCATCTATAAACACGAAACTAATAGGCAAGGATAATTCGGATGAAGTAGACACACAACAGTGATCGTCTGTTTCAAAGAAAATAAAAGTATGTAAAAACAGGGCAAAGAAATAAAACACGAAAACATAAAAAAAAAAATCAAAGAAAACTATGTAAAAAAGACGTGGGGTTAAGTCGTTGTTACGCTTGGAAGCGTACCCGAAGAAAGGAATCAATTCCCGGCAGTCAATGCGTTTTCCCGCTTCAATAAGCCAGTCAACCCATCATATGTCGGCAGTAGAGCACAATCAGTACTGGTAGATTCATTTTTTGGGCTGGTAGAATATTGTTTGGTGAATGAATGATAGCGGAAAATAATTGAAAAAGAAAAACAAATCCAGGAAAATATTACATGAATTTTTAGATTTGGCGCATATCGAAGCAGTCAGTAATAGACGCTAATGGCTGCTTGGAGCCTAACTGATTTTATCTCATGTCAAACAGCCAAACATTTTATCACGTATCAGAAAGCTAAAGGTGATTATATATATATATATATATATATATACACAAAGAGAGAGAGAGAGGGGAAGGAGAGAGAAGGGGGAAAAAGAGGGGAGGAGAGAGGGAGGGGAGAGAGAGAGGGGAGGAGAGAGAGAGGGAGGGAGAGAGAGGGGGGGAGGAGAGAGGGGAGGAGAGAGAGGAGTGAGAGTCGTTATATTTAGTAGATACACGTGTTTGAGCAGCACACCCGTTTTTTTTTCTAAATAGTGTAATTGGTGTCTATCGGCCAGTGCACTTGAATGTCTTAATAAAAGAAAATCGCCTCTCACCAGGGCTCAAACCTGCATTGGAGCTAGACGTGCTTTAACTGCTAGTCCAGGAGACATCTCACAGTTCCTTTTAACTTAAAATCAATACAGAAAAGCTGGGAGAATGTATGAATACATTTAAACAAAAACAAGAAAATTGTAAAGAAAAGTTAACAGCATAAGAATAACGGCTTATTACTTTTCTTTTCTTTTTTTTACAAAAGTCGCACAATTTCATTCGTTCTTTTTTATCACAAGGAAAACCAGCATGGCGAAAAAATATTAGCGATTTATTATTTAAGCATACACAAACACACACACGCATACATTTTGATGCTACTATAGTATAGTACCACGGTATCAAACACTATAGCATGCTGTCTACCTCATTTACTACTATAGTATACGGTGTACCGCGCTATTTAACACTATTGCGTATCTATCAGATTTTTATCTCGTAAAAATGCTACTGCTGTTTCCTCGATCAAGATGACACGTCTATAAAAATCTTTCAGCAACATTTTAATCTGAAGGAGGTTATCTAGCTGATGTTAACGGTTTCAAACCTAGGGCGATTCTGATGTCGGGGGGGGGTCCATTTCCTTCCTTTTATGTGGACAAGACACACGGGAGATGAGGTGAGATGACACCAGAATTCATCGTGGTAGACCACGGGTAAGCGGCATGAGAGGTGAGGTGACGTCACAGGATAATTCACAGCGCGGTAAACCGCATACTATAGTAGTAAGTAAGGTAGACCACATACTATCGTAGCACCGACATTTCTTTCTTTCGTTTTTTATCTGATGAAGGCTATCAAGACAAAACACGTGATCTAGTTTCACTGAAATGGTTTTCCAATTGTCATATTCTTCCAAATTTGTCTGACTTTTGTATCTTATTTTATACACATATTGTCAACACGAAAAACACAAGGACACAACTAGAAATATATGACTCTTTTACTTTCATCCCGTTCTGAAAAATGGATAAGGATTTTATCTTAAATTCATTTCAGCAAAGACTATATGAATTGAGCTATTGTGAAAATAGAATGAGGATTTACCTTAAATTCAATACAGAAAAGCTGGGAGAATGTATAAATAAATTTCGACAAGCGCTAGAATATTGTAAAGAAAAGATACAAAAAGTCGAATAATTTTGTTTTTTTCTTTCATGCCGATAAACGCCAGCTTAGCGAAAAATATTATTTAAACACACACACACACACACGTACACACACACTTGCACTTACACTTTCCGGGTCTGTTTTCGGCGTTCTCTTTTGTTATGGTCCTTGTCAGGATTCCCAATTTTATTTTTTATCTCCTTTTTATTTTGACTGGGTTAGCTTTTGATTTTTCCATTCCACAATTTACTTCCTCCTCCGCTCAACTTCAATGAGTGAACGTTTTGATTTTACTTATAGGCAGGATACAGCGGCCACTCTTATTTTTCTATGGGAGGGTACCTCGAGGCGGTGCAATGGTTAGCAAGCTTATCTCGCTAGAACATTTACGACCAAGTAGTGAGTTCGATCCTCACTAGGCGCCTCTTACTTTCGGCCTTGTGCCACGTCTAAGTTACGCTTAGAAAATCACTATTTTTCCATGGGATGGACGGGGCCTAGTGACATATTTTTTTTTTAGTTTGAATATTTGGTTGTTTTTTTTTTTTTTTTTGTTATTGCGATCACCCCTTCCCCTAAAAAAATGAGAAAACCAATTTTTCAAAAATTTTTAAATATCCATAAATTTTTAGATCATGGGGATTTAGTAGGTACCCCTGTGAGTTTTTTTTTTTTGTATTTTGGTAAATGTAGGATTGAGTGAAAAGGAATGTGTTGTGGTGAATGAGGAAATCATAATGAATGAGTGGGTCGCGAATCAGATTAGCTCGGTTTAGGATAATCAATGGGAACTATCCTCATCCAACTTATCCTTTAGATTTGTGCCAAAATTGTACGTAAAAATACAATAAATGTACACGTATTTCTTTCTTTGGTTTTTGATCTGATGAAGTACAATTTCGTTTCAATGAAACAATTTTCCATTTGCCATATGAGTGTGTGTGTAATTGAAGCCCTTTCTCGCACCAATTCGGATGTTCAATAATTTGTCCAAATTTTAAGGAGTGTGTCGGAATGAAAATGCGTCGAGCATATTCTCATATATATATATATATATATATACATATATATATATATATATATATATATATATATATATATATATGAAGAAAATATACTGAAAAAAACAAAACAAAAAAAAATCCTAATATGCGATTATGCTGTTTTAATGTTTAATGTCAACGTCGGACGTTTCCTGGTCCAATAGACCATCTTCAGGACATATTCATAAAACATAATTAATATAGACCATATACAATTCAACATGAAAAGACGATGGACATAAAAGCAATACCAATCCAAACAGATAACTGAAATCTTTTATAAGATCAGCGTTGTGTTTAAATATGATCACGTCGTCGTCACGTGGGCGATGTTGTAAAAACGTATTCCTAAAATTTTGAATGAAAAACGAAAAGAATTTTCGCATATTAGGATTTTTTGTTTGTTTTTTCAGTATATTTTCTTCATACTGTCGGATCTATATCCATATATTTGCTTACATATATATATATATATATATATATATATATATATATATATATATATATATATAATTGCTGGATTGATGTTTTCAGCATACCTGTCTGCTAGGGCGGCGAGTTACAGACGCCTGTTCAACCCACATAGTCCTTTTTTATTTATATGTATCCCTGAGGACGAGGGCGATCATAGCCCTCCGCGATTTCTGCCTCTTCTAGCTTTAAATAAAATTTATCCTTTGTTCTCACTCTGTCCTGTGAGGAACAAATTTTCCAAGCACTCCTTCCTCATTATGTACACCAGAAATTTCAACTGTCTCTTCTTAATGTTAGGTATGCTTTATTTTTGCTTCCATTTTTTTCTAAAACCTCGTCGTTACTCACACTTTCGGCTCATGGTATCCTCAACAGCTTTCTGTAGAACCAAA